GGGGTGCCGTGGGAAAGCCGTATTAACCATTTTCCCATGGCATCCTGAAGTACTTTGTTCGCTCCCCCAATTATGATCGCGAATTACCCCATTCCCACGGACACATTCTTAATTCGATTTTACATTGCCCTTTCTCCGTGTTTTGTTTTTGTTTTTCTTCGCTGCAAAATTGATGCAAAATGTAGGTCCTTCCTAAAAACTTGTAAGTTTCCGTATTAAATTAGGGATATATACATTCATAAACTTAACTTTTCGTACTCAGGAAAAATGCAAGTTTTGATTTGTGTGCTAGTTTCGATAAATTTCCGATAAAAATTAGAGACGGCACTGATTTAATTGGGGTGCTGTGGGAAAGCCGTATTACAAATTTTTTGATTGATGTGAAAAATCGTAAATTAAAGATTTTATTAAGCAGCCATTTTTAACTAATACCATGTTCTGACCGACATCGAAAACATGTTTTCGTTGCTAAAACTGATTTTCGACCTAAAACTTGTGTGGTCGTCCATATAAAATCTGTCAAACGAAAACCAGTTTTCGCAGTTTCGAGTGTCTGCACTCGTTTTTTTAGATATACTTATTTATCGAAGTAGAAGTCATATTTTATCATCTTTAATACTCCAGTTGGATTTATTGTTAATTGGCTGGCCAAATTAAAATAAGAGTAAAAGAAAAAGGTTGTTAATGAAAAGAAAATAAATAAAAGTATTTTGGTTTTATTATTTTTTTTTTGTAGCAAAACTGTAAACAAAGGATGTAAGAAATGTCAACGAAAACTTAACAACCGGTGCGAACAGCCCCCACAATCCCAAAACTCGTTTTCAAAGTGTTTTCGTTGCCGGTTAGAACATGGTATAACAGGGCTTGGTTCAAGTTTTATTGATAATTTTATTTAACTAAAAACTTAACTAAACCAGAAAAATCTGACCTTTAAACTAACTGTAAAAAACGGACATACATACATGATTGTTTTTTTTTAATAATTCATTAAAATTGAATATCTCGAAAACGGTTAAGTTTTGGCATTTTGTCATATAACCAAATTAATCAGAAATGACTTAAATAATAATGTCCTTAAGTATCTAGGACGACTTTCCCGGAAACTCTATATAATGGCTAGGCTTCTGCAAAAAATTACAATAAAAATAGCCAAAACTGATCAACATGTTGCTGGCTTGATTACACTGTACAGCACTCGGCTGGGAATAGGACCAAACCAACTTTTTTTAAGAGATTGAGTCATAAGTAAAAAAAGTAAGTTCTCCGTTTTTCGAAGTTAGCCTCCGAAATCGAGATATGGGCATTCGAATTTCGAAATTGGACCTTTGGTAAAAAATTATTTTTAATTATTGCATGTCAAATGCAAAAAAAAGTAAAAATGCAGACGTGGTCCGCCTTTTTATCTTATTTATATGGTATATAACTTTTTTTGTGAAAACTTATATTACAGGTGCTATAACGGGTCAAAGGTCAGATCTTCGAAAAATTAAAAACTTAATATTTCAGAAAATTTTGAACTGATTTTTAAAAGATTCATATCGTTGTAAATGTGATTTAACCCCCTTTCTAGTGATATGCATATTTGTATACTACGTATATAAAAATTGGAGAAAAAACACATTTGACAAANTAAATGTGATTTAACCCCCTTTCTAGTGATATGCATATTTGTATACTACGAATATAAAAATTGGAGAAAAAACACATTTGACAGAAAAAATACCTTTTTTTGTATACAAAATTATTTTAAACAAAAAAATTACTAACCGATTTTTAAAAAATTGGAATCGTTGTAAAGACGATTAAATCCCCTTCTGATATGCATGTTTGTATACTTCGTATATAAAAATTTGAGAAAACCCACATTTAAGGGAAAAAATAACTTTTCTTATATAAAAAAAAATATTTTAAACAAAAAATATGCATATCAGAAGAAAGGGGGTTTAATCGCCTTTACAACGGTACCAATTGTTTAAAAATCGGTTGGTAATTTTTTTGTTTAAAATTTTTTTTTTATAAAAAAAATTATTTTTTCCTTTAAATGGGGTTTTTCTCAAATTTTTATATACGAAGTATACAAATATGCATATAGAAAGAAAGGGGGTTTAATCACCTTTACAACGATATAATTTTTTAAAAAATCAGTTCAAAATATAAGGAATTTAATTTTTTCAAGACCTGAACTTTGACCCCTTATAGCACCTGTAATATAAGTTTGCACAAAAAAAGTTATATACCATTTAAATAGGAGCAAAAGGGGGACTACGTCTATATTTTTAGGTTTTTAGTTATTTATATGCAATAATTAAATATAATTTTTTACCAAAGCACAGTGGCCAATTTTTCGAAAAAGCTGGCCAAAAGTCGAAGCGTGGTACAATTGTAATCAAACCTTGTGTATTCGTCTTTATTTTCGTTGCTGGTTTTATATTTCACCACATAGTACGCATAAAATAATCAGATTTTTAGCAAAGCTAAGGTAGTTAAGTATAAAAGGTCATGTTTTCTGCCTTTTTGTTATATAATGTGATGTAGCGGTTAGCAATATACGCTATCATTCCGCAGGGCCTGGGTTCAAGCCCAGTTTCCGACCAACATCAAAAAATAAGAAACAAACAAGTTTTTTGTAATAAAGTCGCCCTTTGGCAGCCAATGGCAAACCCCCGAGTGTATTCAGCCACGAAGAACAGCTTCTCATAAAAATAAAATCCCCATTCGGATTCGGCGTAAAACTATTGGTCCCTCCCCTTTGTGCGCCAACATCAAGGCGCACGCCACAAATCGGAAGAGAAGCTCGGACAATCACAAACGAGGTCTTAATGTTTGTTTCTAAAAATCTTGATGTTCAAATTTATACGGGAACTGCGGGATTTTGAATGAATCAATAAACAAGACATACATATTTGTTGGTACAGGAATATATTTTTAAGATAACAATTTTATACACCGTCAGACTCGCAGTCATCTGAAGTATCCAAGGTCATATCTATATTTTCTGATGGTAATTCCGCATCCGCATTTACAACAGTTGATAATAATTTAATGGCATCTGACGACAGTTTATGCTTTTGTTTTGGTGGGTTTAAACGTAAACTTGAAATGACAGGGTCCGAGGATGCAAGCAGCCGATATTTTTTAATATCCTTATTCCTTGACTCTTGGGCTTCTTCGGAAAGTTGCCCAATTGGCAGGGGTGCCCATTCAATAATGAGAGGCCCATGGATGAGCACTCTAATATAGTAGTACTTTCTGATATCATTTAAATTCTAAAAACATCCAATCTTTAAAAAACGTAAACTTGAAATGACAGGGTCCGAGGATGCAAGCAGCCGATATTTTTTAATATCCTTATTCCTTGACTCTTGGGCTTCTTCGGAAAGTTGCCCAATTGGCAGGGGTGCCCATTCAAGAATGAGAGGCCCATGGATGAGCACTCTAATATAGTAGTACTTTCTGACATCATTTAAATTCTAAAAACATCCCATCTTTAAAACATCAAAATCTTGACAGAAATAATTCTTTACATAATTTAAATCTTTTAAATATAAAAAAATTAAGAATCACGTATAAAAACTGATGTCCAAACTACAGTGGCGGCTTGTGGCAGGTGGTTTTAACCAAGGTGGATGGGAAAAACTTCAATATATATGAAAAAGAAAATTAGACCGCCAATCTCGACCACTCTCGTAACTATTTTCCTAATCCATCATAATGAGTAAGCAAAAAAAAAATCAATCCGTGAATATCTACAGTTGTCCACAAAATAATAGGAGTGCGATATTTTGACCAGTTTTGGCTATTTGTCTTTTGTTTATTTAATGTTTATTATTTTTTTATAAAAGCCTAGCTGGCTATACAACAAACACCATATAAATTCAGATTTTAAACTTTGTATAAAAATTATAAAAATTTTGCAATTTTTCACCCAAATTTCAAACTTTTTAATCAGAATCTTTAGAAAAAATTCTGGTATGCAGTTTTGTAGCACATTCAATTCTAGTCTGAAGAAGTGCAAGTTTCAAGCGGCTAAAAAATTCCGTTGATTTTTGGCAATTTTTTTGCTGGCAGTGTCCTCCATATAAAAGAAAATTGTCGACATACTTTGTATGGAAAAAACGTGAAACACCTTTAACCAAAAAAATTCTCAAAAATCAACGGAATTTTTTAGCCGCTTGAAACTTGCACTTCTTCAGACTAGAATTGAATGTGCTACAAAACTGCATACCAGAATTTTTTCTAAAGATTCTGATTAAAAAGTTTGAAATTTGGGTGAAAAATTGCAAAATTTTTATAATTTTTATACAAAGTTTAAAATCTGAATTTATATGGTGTTTGTTGTATAGCCAGCTAGGCTTTTATAAAAAAATAATAAACATTAAATAAACAAAAGACAAATAGCCAAAACTGGTCAAAATATCGCACTCCTATTATTTTGTGGACAACTGTATGTCTTACGTCAGTTTTTAGATGGCGTAGCAATGAAAAGACATGTTTTACATACTCTAGATTACAATGTCCATGAGCGGATGCTTGAAAACTGTTATTTTTTCAAAGATAATACCACGATTTTAACAACGACGAAAACTCTAATTTACGAAAAGTTTAGAGCGAATTGCTAGCAACAGTCACTTCGATCTCCTGTAGCACTAAATGCCTTAAGAGAATCGACTTGTTGTCTCATAACGATACGCAGTAGAGCCCTCCTAACAATATAAGATGGTTATGCATACGAATGCACCAATTTTTTTTGGACTTTTGGCCAGGGTTTTCCAAAAATTGGCCACTGTGCAAAGGTCCTATTTCGAACTTCGAAGGCCAATATCTCGATTTCGGCGGCTAACTTCGAAAAACGGAGAAATTACTTTTTTACCTATGAGTCAATCTCTTAAAAAAAAAATGGTTTTGTCCAATACCCAGAAAAAAAGTTGATTTTGCCGTACAGTGTTAGTTGAACACTAGGTTATATTTGTACTAAATTTTTAGAGTTCTAACATCAAATTATGTTTCCTTTTTTTCAGACAACTGGTCTCACTGGATTAGCGGTAGCTAGCAATCCCCACCATACGCTTGGAGCTCTTTATGGCAAGATTTTACGAGCTCTTGCCAAAATGCCTCAAGATGCATCTTATCGAAAACATACAGAATTAGTTGTTCAAAGTAGACTTAAAGCGGTTGAGACGGTAAAGCGTATATATTGTTTAAAAATGGTGGCATATCGCATACTTTGCTTTGAAACTTTTAAAAAATCATTACAGCCGTACCTAAACCAAAGCGTTGTAGGAAGCGTTTCCTGCCGCCTAGGCTTAACGCTAAAGTGTCATATTTAAACAAAGCGGCAACGCTACTTCAAATGAACAATGAGACATTTTCGAAAGCTAGACAACGCCGAGNCCTAAACCAAAGCGTTGTAGGAAGCGTTTCCTGCCGCCTAGGCTTAACGCCAAAGTGTCATATTTAAACAAAGCGGCAACGCTACTTCAAATGAACAATGAGACATTTTCGAAAGCTAGACAACGCCGACGCTTTTATTTAGGTATGGCCGTTAGAAATATATAATTTTTTAATACAAAAACGAGTTTTAAGAAATGATCACAGCTTTGTAGCATATTTTTAGGCTGCCTCTAGAATACATATAGCCAATTACCCCTACTTAGTTTAAAAGTCCAAAGACTAAATTTTTCAAAGACATAGACACTGTCTCCGTTAGGGCTCCTACATATACATATGTATTAGCGTGGGCCGAAAATCCGCTTTTTTAGAATTTTGATTGGTAATAGCAAAAATATGTTCATATGCTCTAAAAAATATCTGTGTGAAATGTGAAAGTTTTTGGTCAATATTGTAGGCTCGCCCAAGTCCATCAAAGTTCAAGTACTAAAAAAAATTGTTTCTTAGCTAACTTCGATTCTCTACAAAAAAGATCCATATACCTAATTATGTAGGACTAATACTTTAGAAGATTATTGCAATTTTGGTAAACAAATGTATTACTTAATTTATTTATTAGTTTTTATTTTTTGGCCATATTGAACTTTTATGGACTTGGGCGAGCCTAAGATATTGGCCAAAAATTGTCATATTTCACACAGACTGTTTTTAGAGCATAGTGAACCACATTTTTGCTATTACCAATCAAAATTCTAAAAAAATGGATTTTCGGCACACGCTAATATGTATGTATGTATATTGGAGTGGTAAAAAAAGAATCCGAGATAGGGTTCGGGTCATCTTCCAAAATAGTTCATCTTGCCCAAAGAGGTGCTGGCACCAAACTTACTAAACGTATAAATTTAGAGGATGCTCATGAAATGTTTACATTTTACTCTAGAAGTATGTTGTACATTAGGATGCCCATCGAAAATGCAATTTTTTTAATTTTAAGACTACCCCTAATTTTATTCGTTTTTATGAGAAATATTATGGCCTATTTTTATAGATTTTTTAAAGACCATTTATAGGTCGCGACCTGTCGATTTAGATCAGAAAATGCGATTTTGTAGATTTATGGGTTTTTGAATGACAAATTTTGATTCGATTTCAAAGATCTAATATGATCTGAGAAGAGGATATATAGTATATAGGCCTTTAAAATTGTATATCGATGGCTGAGTGGATCGACCTATCTCGGCTGCCAGTTCGAAAACGCTCTGTCTCAAAAAACTTTTCAAGAACGCCCTATTTCAGAATTTTATTGAAAAACACCTTGTCTCAAAATTCGGTTCAAAACCGCCATATCTCACTTCAAAATGTATTGAAAATATGCTGATATAGGGCGTTTTTGAATCGGCAACTGAGATAGGGCGTTTTTGAAACGAATTCTGAAATAGGGCGTTCTTGAAAAGTTTTTTGAGATAGAATGTTTTCGAACTGGCTGCCGAGATAGGTCGATCTTCCACTCAGCCATCGATATAATAATCTATTGTCGGACTTGGCTTGCTGGAATTTTTTATCGGGTAAAATAAAAAAGAACCATATTTCTCTTAATTTTTTNTTGCTGGAATTTTTTATCGGGTAAAATAAAAAAGAACCATATTTCTCTTAGTTTTTAAAATTTTGACCATCGATATTTTCCACAATTTCAAAATTTGTAGTACTATCTAAAACTCAATCTATTTTTAAATAAACTGATAGCGCATTTATTGCAATCGCATAGAAATTGTCGAAGTTAGGCGACTTTTCTTAAATACGCCCTTGAATTTATTTTGTGTATGTACCGGATTTTCAGATTTTTTGAGCAGTGTGGCTAAGGAATTTATCAATATTTATTCATGATATTGATATATACAATCGCTCTTTAGCAAAAAAATTGGTTTTTCAAGAAATTTTAGGAAAATAGGGGTGCCATCCCACTTATATGATATATGCGTATCTCACCGATGCGACTTGACCGTCTCGACCAAATTTCGTATACACATTGTGCTTAGGCTTCTTAAGCGCCGTATTGAAAAGTTTTGAAATCAGACAAAAACCATGGGCTCCACCAACGTAACGGTAATTTCAAAAAACTCAAAGCTAGATATATTTTAGGGGGAGTAGGTTTTGTCCGATTTCAAAAATATTCAAGACGGCACTTAAGGTGGCTAAGCATAATGTGTATATAAAATTTGGTCGAGATCGGTCAAGTAGTTTTTGAGATACACATATATGATATAAGTGGGAAAAAAAATTTTTTTGCTAAAGAGCGATTGTATATGTACGCTAATGTTACCAAGAGTTTCAAACTGGAAAAAGAAAAACGCGTGTGTTTCTGCTGATAGTCGCTCGATTTATTATTTAGCGAAAAAGAAAGAATTAGAACAAATGTCATTTACAATGGTATAGTTGTAAAGGTTGGCAGCAGTGCGTTTAACCCATATGTGCACTGGCAGATATGAATCCAACATACCGCCACCCTTGAACTACCTGGATAAGTTCAACAAGAAAGGAAATTACAATAAAGATTATTAATTTTAAAAGGGCAATTTTTATCTTAAATGGATATGTATTCGTAAGTAAGGCTCTACAAATTCTCCTCGGAGAACAAATCTCCTTTGGTAGGAAGCAGGCAAAGTCTCACGGTGGGCCGTACGAATTCTCCATCTGGCGTTCGCAGCGTGACCACTCTTACGAGACCATCGTCTCCAGGATGGCATTTCACCACTCTTGCAAGCGTCCACTTTGTCGGCGGGGTAGGCTTGACAAAGACGGCAACAACATCTCCTTCCTCGATATTGCGGGACGGTCGGAACCACTTGGCGCGGCGTTGGAAGCCTACGAGATATTCATCTCTCCATCGGCGCCAGAAATGCTGTCTCATTGCGGAAATTAATTGCCATCGCTGATGAAGGTTTCCGCAGAACCCTTGATCCTCAGGTTCTGGGATGGACTTCAGGGGTTCGCCCACTATAAAGTGCCCCGGTGTGAGGACCTCCTAGTCGCTAACATTTGTTGAGTAGTCGCACAAAGGCCGAGAGTTCACGCAAGCTTCAATTTCANACCTCCAAGTCGCTAACATTTGTTGAGTTGTCGCACAAAGGCCGAGAGTTCACGCAAGCTTCAATTTCAGTCAATAACGTATTGAACTCCTCGTATGACAGGAGAGTATCGCCTAATGTACGTTTCAGATGGTACTTAACACGCTTGATGCCAATCTCCCAGTATCCACCCATGTGGGGTGCGGCTGGGGGGTTAAAACGCCAATCAATGTTCAGATCGCTAAAAAATGACGGAAATCTGTCATCTGTCATGCACTGTTGTAAACTGTTGCGCAGATGCTTTTCGGCGCCCACAAAATTTGTGCCGTTGTCCGAGAACATGACCTTGCAAAAGCCTCTGCGATTTTAAAACCGTTTAAAAGCGTTGAGAAAAGCGGGCGTCGACAGGTCTCCCACGAACTCAAGATGCATTTCCCCAGTGCACATGCAAATGAAAGAACATATATACCCTTTGATGGATTTCGCCCCTCTTCCATGTGTAAATTTTTACACATAAGGGCCAGCGAAATCTACTGCACTGCGGGTAAAACAACGAGCGTATGTAGCCCTAGCTTCGGGTAAATTCCCCATTGATTGTTGAGCTGTATTACGGTTTAATAAGGTACATTTGACACATTTATGGTATATGTTTCGAATTAAACTGCGTGCACCAACAACCCAATAGCGCCGCTG